CATGGATGCATGCATATGGGAGAGCATGCAAGCGTGCATGGATGCATGCATATAGGAGAGCGTGCACGGATGCGTGCATCGGTGAGCATGCAAGTGTGCATGGATGCGTGTGGGAGAGCATGCACGTGTGCATTGATGCATGCATATGGGAGAGCGTGCAAGTGTGCATGGATGCGTGCATCGGTGGGCATGCAAGTGTGCATGGATGCGTGTGGGAGAGCATGCACGTGTGCATGGATGCATGCATATGGGAGAGCAGGCAAGTGTGCGCGGATGCATGCAAATAGGAGAGCAGGCAAGTGTGCATGGATGTATGCATATGGGAGAGCATGCACATGTGCACGGATGCGTGCATCGGTGAGTATGCAAGTGTGCATGGATGCATGCATATGGGAGGGCATGCAAGTGTGCATGGATGCATGCATGTGGGAGAGCATGCACGTGTGCGCGGATGCATGCATATAGGAGAGCAGGCAAGTGTGCATGGATGCATGCAAATAGGAGAGCATGCACGTGTGCATGGATGCATGCATGTGGGAGAGCGTGCACGTTTGCACGGATGCGTGCATCGGTGAGCATGCAAGTGTGCGCGGATGCATGCATATAGGAGAGCAGGCAAGTGTGCACAGACACGTGTGCATGCACGGAAGCATGCAGCCATGCACGAATGCATGCACACGGGCGTGCGTGCATGCAGATGCGCACCTGCGGATGCATATGGGGGAGCACCGTCGCAAGCATGCACGAGGGCGCAGGACCTTGCGTGTCCCCCCCGTGCACCCAGGCGGACGTGTGTCGCCCACACTCCGCGTGTCCGCGTGTCCGCGTGTCCGCCTGTCCCTGCGTCCGCCTGTCCGCGTGTCCGCCTGTCCGTGTGTCCGCCTGTCCCTGCGTCCGCGTGTCCGCCTGTCCCTGTGTCCATGTGTCCGCCTGTCCCTGTGTCCATGTGTCCGCCTGTCCATGCGTCCGCCTGTCCCTGCGTCCGCCTGTCCGCGCCCCTCGGGCCAGGCGGAGGCCCCGGGGCCGGAGGCTCCCGCTCCGGGCGGCTCCGCGCTGAATCCGCCCCGGCCTCCCGGCCCGTTTTCCCGCTGCGAGGAGGAGCAGCTGCTCACGGAGCTGCGTTATTGCCCCCGGGGGCAACAGCCGCCCGGGGCAACACCCCCCTGGGGCAACACCCGTCCAGGGCAACACCCATCCAGGGGTAACACTCACCTGGGGCAACACCCCCCTAGGGGCAACACCCACCCGGGGCAACATCTACCTGGGGCAACAGCCACATAGGGCAACACCCATCCAGGGCAACACCCGCCTGGGGCAACATCCATCTGGGGGCAACACCCGCCTGGGGCAACACCCGCCTGGGGCCACCCCCCCCCCAGGTGCAACACCTGCCTGGGGCAACACCAACCTGGGGCAACACCCACCCGGGGCAACACCTGCCCAGGGCAACACCCATCAGGGGGCAACAGCCACCTGGGGGCAACACTCACCCAGGGCAACACCTGCCTGGGGCAACACCCGTCCGGGGCAACACCCACCCGGGGCAACACCCGTTCGGGGGCAACACCCGTCCGGGGCAACACCCCCCCCAGGGGCAACAGCCACCCGGGGGCAACACCCACGTGGGGCAACACCTGCCCAGGGCAACACCCATCAGGGGGCAACAGCCACCTGGGGGCAACACTCACCCAGGGCAACACCCGCCTGGGGCAACACCCACCCGGGGCAACACCCGCCTGGGGCAACACCCGTCCGGGGCAACACACGTCCGGGGCAACACCCACCCGGGGCAACACCCGTCCGGGGCAACACCCGTTCGGGGGCAACACCCGTCCGGGGCAACACCCACCCGGGGCAACACCCGTCCGGGGCAACACCCATTCGGGGGCAACACCCGTTCGGGGGCAACACCCGGCGCCCCCCCCAGCGCGCAGCCTCGGAAGCGAAGGCAGACGCAGCGGAGCCGGTGAAAACCAAGAGCCCCTTTAATGGCAGTGACCCCAACCGGGGCGGAGCGCGGCGCAAAGTGCAACGGAAAACAGAGCGGGAAAAGGGAAGGAAAAGGAAAATCAACCCCAAAAAGGAAGCCGGGGCAAGGGGGAAACACAAAGCCATGCGGCGGGACGGGCCTTGTAAAAATCCCCATACATTATATACATATTTGCATCGGCGAGCCCGACTCCGCAACAGTATTTACAGTTTATTACAACCTCCGCGAAGAGCATCGGGTTTTCGGGTTTAAAGCTCTGGCAGATGGGAAAAAAATATATCTGAATGGCTCAAGGGTTGGAGGGCGGCCGCAGGGAGCGGAGTGCTACGGAGTCCTCGAATAGAAAAAAAACGGTATTTTACAAACCAAAAAAAGCCAGTCCAGGTTATTGTACAAACGCCGCCGGCTTCCGAGCTCCCCCCGCGCGGCGAATGCCGATTCCTGCTCCCTTTTCTGGCTGTTTTTCCACGGGGATTTTGCCGGGAAGGGCTTTGTCAGCCGGAGGCCGCGCGCGCCGGGGCGCGATCCCTTGAATCCCTTTTTTCCCCCCAAAATACCGGGGCGGATTTGGCAGCGGCGGGGAGAAGCCGTCCCAGCCCTTCCTCGTCCCGCGGCCGTCTCGGCGGCTCCGCCGCCCGCTTCCCTTCCGGCGCCCTCCGCCAGCGCCGCTTCGCTTTTTGGCCGTTTTCCCCCCAGAAAACACTCTAAAAATGCTGTTTATGGCTGCGGGCAGAGGCCGGGGCGCCTAACCCTGGCGCTCGGCCGCGATCGCGGCCAGAGTCCTCATTTAACGCAGGAACGCGAGCGGGGCGGCCGGCCGGCGCCGCGGCTCCGCGGATCCCCCTCCAAACCGGGGGCAAAAGCACCGGCACCGGCGCCGCGGGGAGGGAAGGAAGCGCTCCGAGGTGTAAAAATAGGCTCTGATATAAAAGGCTCCCGAGTCCGCCGCGCGTTGGGAATTACTACTTGGCCGGGTGCTGCCGAGCGCTGCCGGTGCGCACGGAGGCGGCGAGGGCTGGGAAGAACCTGCCGCGCACAAGCCGGAGCGCCCGGAGCTCGCCGCGGAGGCGCCGGGCTCTCCTGCGTCCCCGCGGGATGGCTGGGATGCGCGAGCGGAGCTCCAAGCCAGGGAGCGCGGCTCATCCCGGCGCTTCCCGCGGGGCCTTGGCTCCCGGCGCCGGCGGGACGCCCCGAGCCCGCGCACGGCTCGAGCGGGCGCTGAGGGCACCCCGGGCGCCGGAGCTACTGGCAGAAGGGCGAGGCGGTGGGGTCGAAGCCCTTGAAGACGTCCTTGAGCGAGGCGGCGTCCTGCGGCTCGGCGTCGCGCGCGGGGCTGCTGCCGCCGAAGGGGCTGCCCGCGCCCGCCTTGGGCGCCTGCTTCACCAGCCCGTAGACGGGCGGCACGGGCAGGTTGTGCACGCCGGGCTGCGGC